CCCTGCTCCTCCACATCAAAAGGAGCCAGTTGAGGTGGCCCAGGCATCGGATAAGGATGCCTCCTGCCCGTCTCCTCTGTGAAGTGTTCCGGTTATGTCCCACCGGGAAGAGCCCCCAGGGAAGCCCGGGACATGCTGGAGAGATTATATCTCCTGGCTGGCCTGGGAATACCTTGGTGTTCCCCCGCACAAGCTGGAGGAGGTAAAACTGGAAACAGACTTGAAAAGAAACAGTTCTGGTGAAGCACTAATGCCTCAAAGCTAGAAGGTCTTAGTTTGGTTCTCTGTGGCGTTTTTTGTCCCCTGTGGCTGCATAGGTTTCCTCCTTCCTCCCAAAGGAAGCATAAAGTCCAGAGCATAAAGTGTTGTATAAATATGAGCAACAAAGGTAAATATGGCTTGTCGTATAAAGTGCTTTGAGTGGTCCATAAGATTAGACAAGCGCTAACAGATTTTGTCACCAGACATAACCTGTGTGGGGGCTGTGTGGGGGAGAGCTACCTCCTCTGTGAGCTCCACAGTTTCTGGTCAGTCAATTGATCTGTACAAACGAGCAGATTAAAGCGTGTTGTGTGAGTTCACGTATAGCCTGAGATCAGTAAAACTGATGTGTCTGTCAGATTTTAAGGTTAGGGTAGTGTGCTCTTTTGGGGAATAAACCACTAAAAAGACACCACCCACTCATTATTTCTCCAAGGATCAAAAATCATAGAGATGTGTTTCTTTGACAAAAGCCTCTTTAGCTAACATAAATCTAAGCACACCTCATTAACCAGGCACCAGGCTACAGTTTCCTTTTTGTTGTCATAGGGCTAATGTTAATTAGTTACAGTGTGTAAATGTACTCATCATTATAGCTGGTGAAATCAACTTGCAACAGCTTGTTTAAGGCACTTTTAACAAAGTAGGCTGTAGGGCTGGGTGATATGGCCTAAAATCCATATCACGGTATAATTTGAAGCATGTGCGGTAACATTATATATCGCGATATATTCTTTTCTTCTGTATAACGTATGTTACACACTATAAGGCACACTTAACATCCTTTAATTTTCTCAAAAATCGACAGTGTGCCTTATATATGAATTCTGGTTGTGCTTACTGACCTCGAACCGATTTTATGCAGTGTACGGCGCGCAGAAATCTGTCAAAAAATGTTTTAGTACGACTTTGGTAAGCTATGAAGGCGCACCGCTTGATGGATTGGCGGAGCATTACGGCTACCGTAGTCAGGAGCCTTGTGGAGTAATCCAAAACTGGGTCCAAAACTACGTCTGCTTCAGGTCCCAAAGTCAAACAAACACTGCGGCATCACTGAGAGTTAAAAACTGTCTAAATTCTTTCATCTTTAATAAAATGATCAGTGTTGTTGCTTTACCAGGTGTAACAATTAAGTTTAACATCCAGGCATCCATGAAAACAGAATCTATTAAATTTAATGGAGTTAGAAGTTAGCAGGAACTTAGCTCGTTAGCTTCCACCTAAACATGATACAGCATGTTCTGACTGAGAGCTTTCTGAAAAAATTAAAACGTACAGCTCTGCTATCACTTCCAACATAAATGAAGACAAAAAAAATAAACAGCGGTGACGTTTGTAGGGTTACTGAAGTTTGGCTAGCTGGTACATAATGATGTGCTACGTGATCGCTAGCAAAACAGCTACGTTAGCATAACAGTGAAGCTGAAGGATGAACGCTAACTTTTTCCCACTTGATAAAAGTTAACGTGAAGGTTTCTGATGGTTAGGGACAAATGCAATTGCATGGCAGGATGCTGTAAATGGACCAAACTTCATTTAGGAAAACAACTGAGATAATTCATCCACAATATGAGGTTAGTCATACTGCAACAACATGGGAATAGAGCAGCTGCTCTATTCCCATGAATCAATGGTACAGAAACGGAGGAAGCGCAGTTTTTGGCTTTCCCCATGTTCCAAAAGTGCTTCGTCTCTTTGGTATTACTGTCGCCCGGCATAATTTGCAGATTATGTTGTTTTTAGCCGCTGCAATGCTTTCGACCAAAGCAGGCGCAGCTTGATGACACCATCAACATGCGCTATCGCGGTAGAGCGGTATAGTCAAAATCTCTACCGTTGGCCAAATTTATATCGTTTCTACCGTATACCGTTTATACCGCCCACATAGTAGGCTGCTTATGTGAAAGTGTAGAGAGCACCTTGAAAGTGTAAATAAAAGTGCAAGACTGAGATTCTGACAATGTGAATTTAGTATGGATGACATGATGTGTATGCCAGCTTCGCATCATGGACCCCGCCGCAGATTACAGATATCCCACTATGTATATTTAGCATTTTGCCACAGTTACTGTCACTTAAGAAGCACAGCAGCTGCCTGACTGCACAAGGAAAGAAGGCAAGGATGTAGCAATGTGCAGGGTTAACGTGCAAGTGTAAAAAAAGGGGTAGCCTTGAATATTTGAGCATCACCTAGCTACGGTAAAATCTATTTTCCAGGACTTGGAAAATGTGGCTGGACCTAATGATGTCGATCACAGGCAAACATAGCTTTCTCAAAAACTAGCCCAAGTATCCATGATTGAAGCCTTGACGCCCTGAATTGAAGCATCGGTGTGTGGATTCCTTCCTGCATGATGGTCGGATGGTGACTTGACGTTAAATCCCAATGATGAAGTGTTTCCAAACATAATAAGACATTGAAGCTGATGACATTAAAATGGGCTCATTTCAATGTAAAGGTCTTCGTAAAGTAACAGTTGCCAAAGGAAAAAGAAAATCCAACTGACATTTGACAAACCACGCTGTACACTTTAAAGGAATATGTTCCCCGAGGGCACCAAAATGCCACTGCATGCAGTAACAAACAGTAATCCACAAGCTGACAGAGTTCCCCTTAAATCGTGTGGACAAGGAAAACGTAAGTGCATTGAAACTGTAAATGAGTTAATAAGCCCGTTCTGTAATACACTTTTCTGTTGTGCTCTATACAAATGCTATTCATCAATGTCACGCACAGTTTATCTCATCCAGGAGGGCCCATGCTGTTCCATAAATTCAGCTCCAATAACATCCAGAACTAAAATATGATGTAATTAAGAGGGCTTTTCTGCAGATTCATAAAAAACAGTCTTCATTTCCCTGCATTGCAAACAGCAAATGTTTCAAAAGATCGATTTTGTGCATTGCATTCGTCCAATAACTCAAACAGGCAGGATGCCTTTGCACATAAAACCCCCACATGAGGGTTAAATTAGTTAAAACAGGCCTATTAGATGCACACCCAGGGACTTGCTTCCTCTCACAGGATGCCAATAAGATGTAGTTTACAACGCAGCACATGTCAACAGCCTATTTGCAGATATAATGACTGAGTTTTGAAGAAGGAGTGTTTGATAATGATTTAGCACAGACAGCTTTTGAAAAAGAACTCAAATTCATTAGTTTCATGGGGGAAGGTAAAAGAAGGAAAATCAGAGGGGCTCTTTCAGCGCTGCACCAGTAATTTATTGATCCACAATCAATGTCATCATGACTTTTAGAAGGACTAGCAGCTGTGATCGCAGCACCTACAATTGTGGAAACAATTTCTAAATCTCAACATCTGTCAGAGCTTTTGTGACAGAAAAATTGCTTCCATCAAGCTTGAGCTTAATCAAACAGAGGATTTAAACAGCATTACAGCAGCAGAATGGAAATGAGTTCTTCTATACTTTACTTCATCAAACTAGACCTCCAAACCCACGTCCTGGTTCCCATTTTCAGATGTCATTTCCTAATTGAGATTAAACCACTGCATTTTGTGTCACAGGAGACAAATGGAGGACCGCGGGACATTTCTGAAATTAAATGGAACTTTCCCGTCATTCACACAATTCCAGTGTCTGGTCGCATGCCAGTACACAGGCTTAAATGAGAGAATCTGGCAGAGATGATCGTACTAACGACCCAGGCGGCATTGTAAAGGTTGTGCTCCCACAAAAGAGATGGTTACACTCCACCGCTTAAAAACAGTGTCAAGAAGTACTGATGTAAGCACTTCAAGGAGCATGGTACAATTCCAGAAAGAGGATCAGTCCTGTGGGAGGGAGAAGCATTTGTGCGTGTGCGGTGTTTATATTTCAAAGAAACTGTCAAAGTAAATCTATAGGAATGGATTTTTGGGAGGCTTAGGCACACTGTTCACAGCAAGTATAGACACTGACCAAGAACTGTGTTATGACCCTTAGATTACAAGGTAAAATCCTATTCAGCAGCTTGCCACTGAGGGTTATATGGCTCGCTTTCAGTTTTTGACTTCTTGGTGTAATGTAGCAGTATCTGACAGGGTGATAAAGGACAGCAAGGTGACACACTTTCCTTTATGCTGTGCAACAGAAAGCAGATGGCTTTTCTGAGTTCATGTTAATTGACATGGATTAGAGGCCAGACAAATCCGTTATATCTGATATCAAGCTATGAAGTACAAAGCATTATGAAATGCACAATGCTCTCATCTACTTATCTGGATTTATTTTGCCTCTGCCCTTGCTCGCCTTTTTCTATGATTCTAAGAAACGCAAATAAACCCGACACCTGTGAACCGGCTTCTTATTGAAATGATGCCACGCACTTAAAACCGCAGTTATTCCTGCGAACTACACAGTAGAAAGCAGCTCCGAGCACCGAGTCGTGCCATTTCAAAAGACGAAAATGTATCAAACTACACCTTCAGCAGCAAGTTTTAAATCTCAGTATTACCTTCGGCGCATGCCTGCTGAAGAAAAGAAAGAAAAGAAACAAGAAATAGCCACAGTAGGAAACAACATTTACAACCCCAACAAGGGTCAAACGGCGTAGTCATAAACAAAACTGCATGTGATGGACTTGGCAAGCCTTTAACTCAATGTCACTTCCAAACACAGCATCCCTGGGAGCTGGAAGCGAACGAATATTTTTAGTGGCAAGAAAAATTCCCCGACACATAACACACCAAAGGAAAAAAAAAAACCACATTTCCGACCCTTAATGAAAACACCCACCCGTGTTGCCGTCCGCGTCCCGTCCTTACAAGTTGTCCAGGAATCTTAGATCCGTCCGCTTCACACAGCGCTGATACCTCCTCTGCTCGGCGTCTCGAGCTGCACGCTGCGCTCACGGAGATGGAGGTGGGTTGGCGGGGGGCTGTCAGCGGAGGAGAGGAGACTGTCCAATCAGAGGCCGCCTTGACGAGGAGGGATGGCGGCCAATCTGCCCCGGCAGAGAGAGAGCGGGGTGATGCCGCTTTGTTTAACGGAGATTGACTTTCAAGCAACAGAGCGCGAGCGCCTGTGATGTGATGGCATCTGGACGAAAATAAGCATGCGTACTAGTTTTGCTGCCGAGGGGGGGGGGAGGTTTTCCAGCTGCTTCCGTAAAGAACGCATTTATTTAATTGAGACACCATTAATGACATGGATTAACCACTGAAGGGGAACTGAGTATGTATGCAGCCATCACCATTATGTTCCCATTAAGTCATGAAACAGACCTACTGAAACACGAGTTTGTTCAACTTGTCCATATTGTTTAATGGGCATTCCAGTCCATGCCTCATGTTTTTAGACCCATGGTGGAAATGCTCTTTGCTCTTCGCTAGAGCTGATCCATTTGATTGGCAGGTTCACCTGCAACAATATAATTACTAAATAATTAAGCATGTCAGCAGTTTTGCTGTTTTATTGTTTGTTTGTTTGTTTGTTTTGTAAGTGAAGTGGCTTCATTACAGTTTGCTTCCAAGGAGGCAGACTTTCTTGTCATTTTTAAAGTGGCCTTGAAATTAGCTGCTTTTAAAAATAAAAATAAAAATTTTGGTCTAGTCTTTGTATTTGACCATATTCAGAATAATCGTTTTAAGCCATTAAATCACTAACTAATAAATGATTCAAGCTTAACTCAAGGGATGGATGAGATTTGCATCTAAACATAACAGATAACTTAGCATAGAAACTGTTTTAAATGGCATCTTTATACACTTTGTTACTAGCAGCCTGTTGGAAAAAATATGTAATTAGTTCCAGTTTCTTCAGGTGAATTTGCAAATCATCCCAACAATAACAGTTATCACACAGAGAGTAAATAGTCACATTTTTTGCCCTGACTAAGTTATTCCCAATCATAAACTTGCTCTTTCCCACCACTGTGTCCAGCTTATACTTCAACCAAGTTAAGATAAGTGAAAGACAAAAGAATAGGTGGCAGGCCTAAAAAAAAAAAAAGATCTACAGCTGGTGATCATATCTGAAAGTCTTGCTCTAAAGAAATCCAACAAAGACTTGTTGCAGGACTGAGAGATTCTTCACCAAAGCCTGAACAGAACTGGATGAGTATCTGTAAAGAAGTCATTCTTAATGAAGAGAAAACAAAAGAAAAGGCCAATGTATGCCAAATTAAACAAACGAATTGAAAATCTGAGCCAACAGGGCTTATGGAGTAATGCAATTTGAGATTTTTGGTAATATTATTTTTTTTGCAAATTTTGCAAAAATATATCTGCAAAATTTTGATTCACCAAACAATAACATCTAAAAAGTCTCTAATTGGCATTTCTGACCATGACAATGATTCCAAAGAAATTCCAGATGCAGTAAAAGCACATCTGAATAGAAGAATGCATAATGACAGTCATAGATCGACCTCCCCTGAGCCCAGGCCTCATTAATGAAGCAGTGTGGTCTCATCTTAACAGAGCAGAATGAATAGGCAGCCTATATCCAAAGAAAGGCTCTGGAATGTCCTTCAAGAAGCCTGGAGAACTATTCTTGAAGACTGTTTAAGGGAAATGACAGGGAAGCTTGCATACGAGTTCAGGCTGTGTTTAGGAATAAAGGTGGTTATACCAAATAATGACTTTCAAGCTTGTATGTTTTTGCCATACAATTTGTATTTCCATGTATGTTTGCACATTTCAATAAAACACTACCTATTTCCCATTTTCTGAGCAAAATGTAAATAAATAAAGGGTGGCTCAAAACCTTTGCACAGTACTGTATTTAGAAAGTAGATGTTAGATAAAGTATAAAATCTGTTCTCCTTTTAGTGGCTTGGGAAACTCTTAGCAAAGAGAACGAGAACAAATCTTTGTGTGCAGCAGTGCATTCTAAAGTTTAATATAATCTACACCCTGTGTTGGACCAATTAGGCAAACATCATCCAAAGTTATTGACCTTTCTGTCCATTTTTCTTGTTTCCCTAGGGAGACGCAATGTAGACACTGTAAGACAGGCAAGATCTTTCTTTAATTCTTTTGGTCATTTTATGATTTTTATTACAGAATTCGAAAAAGACCGAGGATGGCATGCATGGAAGGTCCGGAGCTGGATTTAACCCTGCTATTCATTAGAAAATCACTGGTGAGCCAAAAAAAATTCAAACAACTGCTGCCTAATATTTCTTTGGTACTTTATGTGTTGCTGAAAAGGACCAACTCTTCAATGCCTGAGTTCTACAAAACCTCTGAAGAAGCTCATTTTTTTCTGGCACTAAGATAGAAGCAGTGGATTCTTTGGCTTGTAAACTGGAATGGCCACCAATCTGAACTATTTCAGCATTTTCACTCACATTCTTTTGTTAATTCATAGTTATTTGTTCAAAGATTAGAAAAGTTGAGAAGAAAAGTAAGTTAAAGGTAAAGATTTGTGTATGAGCTGTAGGGATATGTCCTCAGCATAACTGAAATGTTTTCTATTGTAGGGTCTTTACCTTACAATTTAAACTGCATTGAGGCAACTGTTCCTGTGATTTGACACTATATAAATAAAGTTGAATTTACATTTTAAAGGTCTATTGCCCCAATTAAAAACGTAAGAATAAAGAAGCTACGGCTTAAAGCACACATCAGATGTAAACAGTATATCGCCTGAAGGTTATTGTATTTTAAAATTAATATTGAAATACTGCCCCATTTTATTTATTTTTTTGGGCTTCAGACTTCTTCAAACAAACACATTTGAATACACAATTCCAGAAAACTCAGATTTTGCCCTCCATCCTTTACCTGATTTTTTAATGAAGCTTAAGTTCAATAAGGAAGACCTGTAGTCACACATTTGTCTGCTTCCCACATGTTTGGTCACTAATCTAAGCTTTACATTGTTTCCACTTTCCCACGCTATCAAGCTCATTGTGACATAATTAGTCTAGTCCAATAGTCTTTCTGCTGGCCTTCTTTAGGCCAATCAGCCAGCACTCTGCATACTTGAAATCTCACTGCTTATCTGTCATTCAACCTTTCAAACGCCTTTGTGCAACCCACCTCTGCCCCCATCTCCCTTGTTCCTCAGGCTCCATTCAAACCTCCGTCTTCATCTCCACCACCAGTATCTGCACTCCAGCAGGTTCTGTCCTAATCCCCATCACCGCTGGGATTCCATTCTGCTGTAACAGGCCATCAGAGTCTAACTGCCAGATACCTTAATTGAATTCTATATATCAATATATCATCTTCAGTTTCTTCTAATTATCTCTCCATATTGAATTGATTTCATCAGTAAAAAATGCACCAGATGTTTAAGTGTAGTATGTTATAAATACTGTAAAATTTCAAGAACAATTGCACAGTATTTTATTGGCTGGTCAGTCTTTTTCACTTGGTTTGTTTTCTATTGTTTTGGTTTTTTTTCCCCCATTTGGTTTCTTAGCTTTGTGTACATGTTTGTATGAGTAGACCTGAAAAAGAAAATTCAGGGAATTTTCATGAATTTCCAGATCTCTGAACTTGGTCCTGCTGGAGGCTTCTTCCTATTAAAAGGGAGTTTTTCCACTGTTGCCAAGTGCTTTTTCAGAAGGGGTTGTTGATGATTATTATTATGAGTTTTCTCTCTATTATTGTAGGGTCTTTAAAAAAAAAAAAAAGCAATTTGAGGTGACTGTTGTTGTGATTTGGTGCTATATAAATAAAATATGTTTGAAGTGCCAAAAGTCTTTGTTCTAAAACTTTTGATTTAGTCCTGAATCTGAGTGTTTAGAGGTGAGCGCCACTTATACTGGATACTGGAAATTTTATGAACAACATACAATCAGCAGTTCCACATTCCGGTTCACACAGTAGAACACTCTGTAACAATGCACCTCTCCTCTAAATAAATCCTGAGGACCACTTGAATGTTAATCCTCAGGACCCTTTGTGCACTCCAGCAATTTCTATCAGAAGAGTTATCCCTTAAATCAAAACCATATTAATTGTCCTTCAGCCTACTGTTGAATTGCCTTGCTGTTTTCAGAGAGAAACACATTTGTGAAACATCAGCTTACACTGGATTATTTTGGTTAATCGACCTACTACGCACCCTCTCACAGCCCCTCCTCGGGTTTCCTCTTGTAAGAATGCTGTTTATTACTGAAGTGCACTGACTGCATATTTGTAAATAAATTAATATAATAATAATACTATCTAAAATTTATATAAAATATAAAAAAATCAAGTAAATTGTTAGTAGATCTGGTTAGTAGTTACTCTTTAGAGCACTTATATAAATGTTCTTGATGCAAGGCATCAAGTCAACAACAAGTAGTTTTTATTCCAGCAGTGTGACGTTCATCAGCAAGTTATGGCATGAATTGGAAAAAGCAGTTAACATTTATGTTGTTTGTTTTCATGAATGGTTAGTGTTCTTTATGTTTCTCACCAAACTGTGGCACAGCATTTCCCTCACAGTCTAATAGCAGCATTTGAACTGTCTGATTCAGCCATAATTGTGTATGTTTAGCACTTACTAACATGTATTTGTTGCAATAATCAACATGTTGCAATAACATTCCTCCTCACAGACATGAGTTGTAGAGGCTGTTGTTAACCTGGGGAGGGCAAATTATTATAAATTATTATCACACAAAATTTAAAATTGATATCTTGAAAACTGTAGATGCCAGACAAACAAACAGAACTGATTACATACTCCTTTCATTCAGGGAAGAATAACACTAAGATGGAGAAAAAAGAGAAAACAACTCGATCAGATAACACCTGAATTTGAGTGACCTGGATGAAAGTCAACATACTCATGTTACTACAAACAGTCAAGCTTCCTTGTTCAGGCTTTTAATGCACTTCTGCATCTTTTCACTAATCTATCCAATAAATGA